AGTCCGCCATTTGCATTATTGCCATACGACCGTATCGAGAATTTTTTTTACAATGGCTCAATCTAATCATTTTTCCGCGGCACGTAATGAACTACTTACAAAAGACAATTACGAAACCTGGAAAATTCAGGTTGAAGCCCTCCTAACGAGAAACAACACTTGGTCATATGTCTCAGGTGATAAAGTCAAACCAGAATTAGCAGAAGATGCCGCCGCTCGCGCTGAATCTCAGGTAGCACTCGATAAATGGATCTCGGAGGATCGTTTAGCAAGGTCTGATCTCATTCTTTCCATGAGTGCTTCACAGTTAAAGCATATTCGTAATTGCGTCACATCACACGAAGTTTGGACGAAGTTAGCATCTATTTAGGCTTCACAGGGTCCCACTCGAAAGGCCACATTACTCGAACAATTACTATCTCAAAAAATGCGCGAAGGCGAAGATGTTCAGGATTATTTATCGCGTTTCATGAACACCGTCGACAATCTCCAACAAATGGACGTTATGATTAACGGAGATTTATTATCAATCATGCTTTTACATAGCCTGCCGAGTAGTTATAGTAATTTTTGCTGCGCGATTAAATCTCGTGATGCACTGCCCCCCGTTGATACGTTAATTCAAAAAATCATCAAGGAAAATTTCGCCAGAGAACACAAGTTTGAAGACAGAGGTGGTGCCATGTTCGCGAAAAATCGTCATGTTAGTGCTAAAAACACATACGGACAACACTAGGAAAATAAACAAAAACCCGATTCGAATCATCGCGGAAAATTAAAGTGTAATTATTGTGGAAAAACAAATCACAAGGAATCTCGATGTTTGAAGAAGAAGAAAGACGAAAATCAAAACTCAAACGCGGTGAACGATGCTTTTCTCACCATTGACAGTAACAAGTGTCGTGATATTTCGTCATTCAGTGCAGTAAGTAACGAAACGTGGTGCCTCTATAGCGGCTTAACTTAGCACATATGCAAAGATATGAACCTTTCACTAATTCGCAAAATATTAAAAGTGGTGTAAAACTTGCCAGTGACGCGACCGCGGAAGTTACTGCAAAAGGTGACGTTATGATTACTACCTCAAACATCAAAATTAAAAAATCGATTCTTCTTCAAAATACGCTTCATGTACCGAATTTACGAACAAACTTGCTTTCAGTGTCAAAGATCGTAGACAAAGATCACACTGTAGTCTTTACGAAAACTCACGCGCACGTTATGGACAAAGACGATACAATAAAAATTATCGCGAAACGTGATGGTGACTTATTTTTAGTTCACACTAAACCAGTCGATTCCACAAGTGCAGTGACTACAGTTAAAAGTGATGAAATCGAGTGGCACATACATTTGGGTCATTTAAATAAAAATCACATGAGGCAAATGTTACGAAACGGATCAGTGACAGGTATGAACTTCAAGCTTGACAGTGATCGTCCATCATGTGATACTTGTGCAGCTGGAAAAATAACTCGAGTTCCATTCCCAAAAAGAAGTCAAGGAAGAACCTCACTTCTCGAAATTGTTCATGCAGACCTTTGCGGCCCGATGAAGACGGAATCACTGGGTGGAGCTCGCTATATGTTGACTCTCACGGACGATTACAGCCGGTGGACAGAAGTCTATTTTTATTCACAATAAATCTGATGTCACCGCTAAATTTCAGTTATGCTTCTTTACAATATTTTAGACTTTTTTTCAATAGGATTTCCTTTTGATTTACGAATATCCTCTTATTTTAGGAGGAATACTCTAAAGTAGAGGACATTCCTATTAAATTAAGAGGACAGTTTTTGAGCCATATTCTAAAGGAAAATATGCATTGAAATAACAGGAATCCGGTTAAAACAAGAATATTTTTTTTTCGGTGTCTAAGCAGGTCTAAAAGTTCGACTCGGGGTGCAATCAGATTTTGTAGTTTTTTAAATTACACTGAGAAAAATGGAGTTTAAAAAATTGGAAGTCAGTATTAAGTAAATAGGGCTCAGTTTAGAAATATTAGTTCACAGAAAAAAATCCGACTCACTTTTGTTGCAACGCATTTGGAAGTCGGTCTCGAAATGAGTAATCGACAACTTGAAGTGACTCAAAATGAGTAATCGGCAACTTCAAATGACTCAAAATGAAAAAAATGTCAGGTTCTAGTTTTTTTGTGTGTGTTATGTTAGCAACAACTGTAGAAAATGTCTGCTGAGCTTTGCGCCGTTACTTTTTTGTGTTTCGCATGTTTCGTGTTACATGGTTGCCATCCCTGTCAGTCAATTCACAAGTGTATAACCTAAAAATTTTGTTTTTCATTTCTCATAAATACGATAAATCGACTTCAAGTATTAATGTTTTGACAAGTGCAACGTGTTTATTCATTATGAACAATTATTTTAATTCACATTTTTATTAATTGTTCCCAGTTATTCTAATGTATTTGTAATTTTATCATAAACCCAAAATGATACCGCTTATACTCATTTTGAGTCTTTTCCCCAGAAACTCAGAATGAGTCGAAGGGGTATCATTTTTGTTGCACTTCAAAATGAATATCATGTGCTACTCATTTTGAGTTTAGTTTTTTTCTGTGTTCTCATCACTATGAAAAATGCTATTGAATCAATTACATATATTTATGTTTGTCGCAATAAACGAAATTATATTATGCGTCTAGTTCTCGATGATTACATGTAGTACTGTCAAGTACGCGAAATAATACACACGTTTAGAGTTTGAATTTCAAAGAAAACTCCCGCGTCTTTCAGCGCCCCCAGGTCGGTTGCGTAGATAGTTTCTCATATTGTTTTGTTGTGTAAAATAAAATACACGTGCGGAAACGAAATAAATATTTTAAATCCTTTAAATTATAGTTTTTTGTTTAAAAAAGAAAAGAAAATGAGAAAATCAAAGAAAAGAAGTCGATCTCGGTCGAGAGACGATGATGGAGGTGAAAAAAATTACAAAGAAAAGGTTAACAATTCTTGAAGAACAGATAGCTAACCTCACAAATGGTTGGAAAGAATTCATAAAAAATCAAAATGCTACAGCAAATAACAACTCCACAGATGTTGCTACTAAGGTAGCACTGATTTTCTTTCTAAAATACATAAAAAATGCTTTTAATACAACTCACTTCCACACGAAGAAGTTGTAAAAGGCTATCTCCACAAGAGAAATGCCTGTTCCATACGAACACACACACATATAGGTACAGCTCCACACGAGCTCGACTCGTATTAATCGGTCACAGTACTGATTATAATTAAAAAAATTTTATTTTCAGACAAAG